AGTACCGCTTCAAAAGTCAGTCCCGTTTCTAAAAGAACCAGGTATTATACTTTATGTCTTTTTTCTAGAGGTGTCGAATGTACTTAACGGCTGGTTATTTGCCTTTGTATTTGAACAGAGTGAGTGGTCATAGCGGAGTTTGTTTATGTTTAAGTAGAAGCGTCTGATCATGCAGGAGCTGCCGGTCATTATCTCAGACTTCGGACATATCGAACATAAGAAGCATTGATTAAGCCAAATTATTGAGATTTTACATTTGGTGTTGACGAGGTGTATGCCTTTGTATGTCTGTTTATTGTGTTCTACATTTTCAAGCGTTCGACATAAATCGACCTTGTGACCTGACACTTGAATTCACTAAACCTGCCTGCGCTTCATCTCAGCTGGTTGGTGGTAAGGGAACGCAGTTGGCTCTTCTGACTCAGCTAGATGGGAAGGTACATGTTGGTATCATGTTTACACGCTCACGTTGTCCCTGTTTAAAAGTTTCTCGGTCAGTTCACCAGCGAGTTCTGCAAAGACGCTCAATAGTTTGTACAATACCGACACTGCAAGTAAATAAACCTGTAACAATAGTGTTCATACTAGCGTAACACTTCACGTTATGTTCAGTTCATAGTTCCGAGGGGTTTCTGCCTGACGGTAGCCGCATACAGACACCATCTGAAAGATAACAAACATCTACGTGACGCAGTCGAAGAACTGGAAAATGTTGCATAGTATGTATTATAACCAGGAATAAATAATCTCAAACTATTATTACCTGAGATTATTTTATCGCTGTTATTATTTACAATAAATTTGCCATATAACAGAGATAACTGAAAGATGTAAAATAATGCGCGTCATTAAGTAACAGAGTAATTCGTAACGTGTTCCATCGTCCGTTATCTATTGTTCCATTTTGCATATTATATTGCGTTAATACAAACAACGTTAAATGCCGCTAACCTTTTTCCAGTAAACGAAAGGAAGGTGATATTCACGAGATGTCCAAGGCCATTGTTGAAAGCTTTAACAAAACTCAACTGACTCCGGAGTTGGAGCGGGCAGTGTTGAAACAACTGTCAGAGCTGTTTGGCGATGAATGGAGCGAGAAGACGTTTGCTGTCCGATCGTCTGCTGTTGGTAGGATCTGATGTCAATATTGTATGACAGTCCACATTGAATTTTAATTTAAAAACTAGTTGGAGCTATATATAGCATATAAATTATATCATTATGTAACCCTGGGCGTATGTCCATAATCCTAGTGTTAGTGCTAACGTTCTTGCAGGCAAATTCTATGCACATTATGAGATTATTTTATAGTTAATTATTGTAGAATTCAAAATCAGTTGTTAAAATGTAACTATATTGTTGTTAACGCTAACCAATCAGAATTAACTCGCGCCTATTTGGTAATATATGCTTTAACGCTTAATACAACTGTATGGTGTAATCTTTAGTAATAATTTTAGGTGGAACGATAGCGGGGAAGCACTCATTCGCTGGACAGCAATGGAGACCTTCTTGGTGTCAATCGCCGCATTAAAAAGGTTCAGACTATTATCGCAGTCGTTTATGAGCATGTTTTGAAATTGCTGCATGTTAACATAGGCAATGACGAAACCCTTTGCAATTGGCCTGCATCACAAAATAAAATCTTTTCATGGTTTCATGATCGCATCTATGCCTATACAGAGTGTATATAGGCTACAATATGCAGCATGCAGCAAACTAGTTCGAACATTTATATCGAAAATATATCTCGCAAATGTCGACATCTTTTGTCGGTTAGAATACGACCAGTTAATTGAATAATTTTTCATCTTTGCAGATTTGCAATGCCATTGGTAAAATGTTGAGGCATCATCATTCACACAGCAGGCCTGTGAGTATAAGAGGTATTAACCTGTGTCTGATATATATAGTCAGGGCTCGTTGGCTACGCTCCTTGTTGTCATTTGCTTGCGTTCATGCACGCGTAGTGAATGCCGTGCTAGAGCCTTACTAAATCGCAGGTACACTCTATGATTCTACTCTGTAATCTTCCTGATCCAGGTATGCGTGTTTTCATTCGCAATATGTGTTTTTTTACATCGTTATCACGGCCAGATGTAGCCGCTGATGTCGCGCGTCCCATACAAGAGATGGTCGAGGCAGACGCTGCGGTGCTGCTCTTTTACAGAGGATCGGTGACTGGTAAACCCCTGAAATCATCGACCATCACCGTATCATATGGGATAGGAGAGGTGGGTGATATTATCATGTATGGTGATATTATATATATATATGATATATAAATAGATTGGTCATATGTCTGCCATAATTAGTAGCGTTATATATATAATATATATATAATATATATATAATATATATATAAACGGAATTTACTCGGCGAAAAGAAACAATTTAAACAGGGCGTCTGCCTCGACACATCTCTTGTATGCAGGACGCCGACATCAGCGCGCGCTACATGCTGGCCCGTGATACCTGTAAAAAACACATATTTCGAATGAAAACACGCATATCCTGGAATCAGGAAAGCATTAGCAGGAGTAGAAGTCACTAGATGTTACCTGCGATATATATATATATTATATATCGTAGCTATACTAAGATCATTCAGATATCGCGTATCAGCTATCTTCGTCTAGCTGTTACTAATGTGCATTTCTCATTTCTCATACTCATTACGCTTAGGATTAACCCACGGGGTAATCTTTAATTAAAACACTGCTTTCCACGTACGGCAGTGTGTGGGAGTGACGGAACCTGACACACCATCTATCTGCAGAGAAGCTTTCATACGATAAGCCTCATCGTCAAGCGAAAAATATTCTGGGAAGCAAGAGAGATAAAGATGTTATCAAAGTTTGTTGAAATTATACGTTAATGGCGTGGAAGGCCTAGTTTAACATAGAATATTGATGGAATACGTATAAATTAAATAAATAAATATATATATATCAGGCCGTTAGCCAGCTTTTCTATTGGGGGGGTTCGGTTTTTCAAATGTTGGCAATGTTGCTTGCGGCAGGTGCGTGCAGTTGTACGCAGGGGTGTAGAGGGGCCTACCGTACGGCACCCATACGCGAGACGAGGCGGGTCTTGACGTGGGCGAGAAATTTTTAAAATACACCGGCATTCCAGATGCCGCTTTTTCTGGCGCGAGCAAGGGGGGTGTCCGACTCCCTGGACCCCCCGCTCTGTACACGCACCACTGCTCGAGCGCGGCGAAGCGAGCCAGTGCGAGGGAGCCAAGCGACCGGAGCGGGGGGAGGGTGTGGGAGGGGGGGTTTTCTGACTTTCACCCCTCCCGCACGTGGAGATTTTGCAATTATTAAAACTAAATGGAGCGACCTGAGGTGAAATTCTGCAAATTTAAAAAAAAAAATTTTTTTTGCTGGGGCTCGCGGGCTACGGGGGGGGGGTTCGTTCGAACCCCGCCGAACCCCTGTGCTACGGGCCTGATATATATATATAATATATATTGTTTCAGAGTCAGGCGGATTGGTGGAGATGGAGGCAGACAGCAAAACTGATTGTTGCCTACCAGATGATATTGCACTGGAACTAGGGAACATTGGCATACAAGTAAATAATAAAATTTCTTTATAACACGGGGAATATAATTTATATGGGCGGCGCGCGTGCGTGTGTGCGTGCGTGCGTGTAGTGGCGTGCGTGTATGTGCGTTCGAGCGTAATAACATTTATTTATAACGCGTGGTAATATATATTTGCGGGGGTGTCTGTGCCCGCGCGTACGTGAGTGCGTGCATGTGCGTGCGTGCGTGCGTGAGTATGTCTGTATATTGTGTATGGGAAACTACTTGTGGACAATCTTAACAAATAAGAAATTATTGAAATCTTATCATATATGAATAGCGTTTAAAACAATACGACATTTGAGACTATATTTTCTTTAATTTCATTTTTCGGTACCGTTTCACTCACATAGGTTGAGAAATCGTTCTCAGATGCTCGAGACATCGAGTTTGCAGTGAAAGAAGGCCGGATCTACTTGCTTCAAGCTCGACCAATCACGTCTCTCGATAATGAGTCTGAGTTTGAGCTCATGCATGAACACGACGGCCCGTTGTTGACGGACAGTGAGATGTTCACCAATGCCAACACAGGGTATAATACGCGTACAACAGAGGTTATAATTATTATGTCCTACAGTTTGATACCTGTGCTAAATATTATATATATGTACCCACAGCCGCCCCATCCGATGATGCAGCTATACACATACATGACTTTTAATTTCACATAAAGCCTAAATAAAATCCATGCCATAATTCCTAGATGTAGGCCTAGTCTCAATAATAATAGTGTAGTATATAAAATGGTTGAACAATATATGTATATAAATACATAAATAAATAAATATATATATATATAGTGTATATATATATATATATATATATATATATATATATCGTTATATGGTGCGCTGTCATCATAACATTTCGCGGAATTCTCTCTAGTACTACGATGATTTGGTTTTAATGTATCCGCTTCACCTGCAGAGAAATGATGCCGCAGGCTATGACACCGCTCACCTGCGATGTATTTATTTCCTCCTTGCTGGTCTTATGCAGGTAAGGAAAATCGGAGAACCTATTTATTACGACAAAATTGTTTCTTGTGACAAGACCATGTAAAACACATTGGTTAGTTTTAGCAGCGAAAGGAAAAGTAAAAACATATTTTTGTTATAATATATATAACATGGAATCTAATATATATAATAATATATATAAAAAAAATATATTTTTACTTTTTACTTTACTTATATATATATATATATATATATATATATATATATCTTACTTATATACATATGGTGGTGTATAATTATACGCACGCACCCACACGCGTGCGCACACACACACGCGTGCACACACGTATACGTACGCACACACACAAACGCATCAACACACACACGCGCGCGCGCGCGCACGCGCACGCACGCACGCACGCACGCACATACACACACACTCACATACACACATACACATACACATACACATACACATACACGTACGCACACGTACGTACATACACACGCGCGCGCGTAGACTGGTTTCATGTGTGCGCTCACTTTTTATAGGTCCTGCGAGTTGAACTGTTGGGCAGCGAAGCAGTCCAAAACACCTACGTAGAATTACACGGATTAACATTCTTCAAACACTTCATTTTCAACATGTATAACGTGAGTTTGACTGTTTAAAACGAAAATTACCGCTTCTTAATGTTATTGGCAAAACATACCATGTCAATTAGCGTGTCGAAAAGCGACTATGTAATTTGCAAAGCGATTCTTGCAAAAGAAAAACAGGTATCAGCCTTGTGCACCCTACATACCGCGCTAGTTTCTTACTCCGTGTAAATAATGAACTGTTCTATAAATACTAATTTTGGATTGGACTTTAACACTGAACGTGTTACGAATCTCTTATTAACAGTCATTAATTATTTTAGTTGGTTAGAAGAACATTTGATAGGTCTACATACCATCTTCTTACACCTACTTCTAAATATTCCTTCCATATGATAACAGGCTTCACTAATCATCTATGATTACGCAGAAATCACAATTTACCAAATTGTTTTTATCTAGGGTATGTATTACATAAATGAATACACGACATTATTCGACACAGAAAAGCCAAAGGTTGAATGTGAGATCCAGCTGTACGGAAAACCGCTGGGAAATGAAAATTTAGACACGATCCATGCCCGTTACAGAAATATTCGTGTCTCGTTGTACCAGAAAATTATGGGAACCCTGCAGATGTACATAGTAAGTACACAGCAGACAAGTGGCTATTGTGGTGTGCAGCCTCGCTGTCCGGACGTTATTACCTTGTTTTGTTGATTTGTTCCGTAAATGTTAAACAGTCAAATTAGCATACCGCCATATATAATGGGCGCACAGCACTCGAATCTGCAGTGCACTACTTCTTCGTTATAGTATGCGCTTAGAGGAAAGCACTACATTCAGCAAGGTAATACCGTAGTCAAATCGGCGAACACAGACTTCAGTACCACAGACATACGATTGCTGTATCAACAACTTGATAAACTCATCCAGACGAGTAGCGAGGTATGTACATTTTTATAGTAATCTACGTCGATCCTGTTTATACGTCGAGCAGAATATTAATGTTCGAATGTAATCAATCATATGCCTCTCACCAAATTGCAGGATAGTGTCATCGTAAAGTGAACAACGTTGTAAGCACCATGTGGGAGGAAATCTCTTGATTAAACTAACTGGCGCTTACTTCGCCCGCTCTGGGAGGCGGGTGCAGTAATGCTAAGTGGGAGCTAGGGCCCATGTAAATGCAGAAGTGGGGTTGAGGGGCTGATTTCACGGAGGTGTTTTGCCACATAACGATAAAATCTGGCTTGAAGTCACAACGAGGGGTTCCTGGACGTCTTGAGCCCCTCTAGCTGGGTCCACCTTTTTGTGTATCAGGAGGTTTACAGAAGTACAATATACGTATTCGCTGTATGAATCTCTCACGATGAATACAATTTCCCACTACTAATATATATAAAACGATTATCCAAATATGTATGTGTGACTTATCGGTATTGCTACGTGTATGACAATAACCCGGCTTCGTAAAATATATTAAGCATTATATCAGCTGCTGTTATTCGTTTCAATACATGACGTACGTTGCTCTGGAAGGATTTAACTCGTGATCAGTTACGTCTAGTTTCCGTTTATATATTCTTTGGTCATTTAACCCACGTGAACCTACACAATACACAATATTAAAATTAGCACACATACATTTAATTACACGTTATCCAACGAAATTGTTTTAATCATTATCATTTAGGCATGGTACTGCCACTTGCAAGCTTCAATGACATCCAATATGACCGGTGCAATAATCCAACACATTTTGGACACTGGTCGAAGACAAGGTAAGTTATATGTCGCTCACCAAACAATACCCTGGAATTTAGTAATCGTAATTGTTGCAAACATGTGTCAGGTATCCTCTAATGCATCTAATAATACAAAGCTAGCTGATTATTCTTACAATTTACTTAATTGATTAAATTCACATTGTTAGTTATCAACACGTTCAACGCTGCCGGTGTTAACAATGCACCTACCGCCCTGCGCTGGGATTTTCGCGTTTTTACCGCGTATTCACTTATTGATTTACCACATTTCCTTTGCAGGAAAGCTAACCAAACGGACACATTTACTCTGCATGAGTGTTATCTCACCCTTACACGTTCAAATAGTATGAATATCGTTCCCCTTCATAATAATAATATACATCTAATAATACAGAGCTAGCTGATTATTCTTACAATTTACTTAATTGATTAAATTTACATTGTTAGTTATATTAAGAAGGTACCAAAAATTGCATATAATGGGCACAACTTAAACGCTTACGTAAAAAAAACAATTCCAAAAAATCCAAGCGTCCCAACGTTGTAATATTTTGTGTAGTTGTAATATAACGCGGAGGTAAGCAGTTTATGAATAGAATAGCTTTTATTGCAGTTAATCCATCCACGTGACGTGACCAATGACAGACTTTCGCTGATTAGAATCATCCCTGCACGAGAAACCAATCTGTGTAAATATATATTTCAGATTACGCCATCCTAATGTCTGAAGTTGCCAACCTCCTATCAACTTGCCCAGACGTATTGAGTGCTGACGTACCATATTCTCTGCGGAAAATTGCGGGAATGGTGATTGACAGCGGTAAAGCCGAGTTCTTTCAGTCATTGTCGGCAAAGGGGGCAGCCCAGTGGCTACAGACAGATGACAGCGGAGAGCTGAAGAATGAGTTTGCAAAATTTATAGAGACGCATGGACACAGATGCGTGCGCGAGGTAACCTCAATATAACTGCCGTCATGATAGCACCTTAGTGCAAGAAATTTCCCAACAAATCTTATAAATGTATTGTTCGAAATTAATGACGTAGTTTACTACAATTGGCTTTACAAGTTGAATTCCGCCGTAGTTGCAAATAATTGCACCAGTGCAACATATTAGCAACGCTATATTTTATATAAAAAAAGTATAAGAAAAGGGTATTATTTTCCTTATTAATATTAAGGCCATGAACTAAAAGACGTCTTTCTGACGACTTAGAAACACGTTACAGCAAGCATACATTCTGTTGGGTTGTTCGATTTCCTCATTTGTCATATGCTGAATTTATCCGTAATTTGAATGCTCTATTTTGACATAGTCGGAACTCTGGGAAAAACCATGGAGAATGGAGCCAACAAAGGTTGTCAAAACAATACAGGTAAATTAGTTAAATAAGCTTAGTAATAAATTAGTAAATAAGATAGTATAATGCGTTAATGTTTTATTTAAAGATGAATTATGTTAAAAACGTGTATTAATACTATTATAAACGTCATATAAAACCTCACGTAATATACACGCATTTCATTAAGGGAAAGAAAGATGTAAGCTAAAATAGTTGTAATCGTAGTATTCTGATTAGCATTTTAACATGAAATCTAAAAAACATATATGCATTACCATTATGCAAATATATTACTTTAATTTCACACATGCGTGTAACCAAGGATATGACAAAGTCACCAAACGAGATGAAGAAAAGAAAAACGTACACGACAGAAGACGAAGCTATCGAGAACATTAAAGTTCCCATTGGCGCCATCAAAAAGTATGTTATGTATAATATAATAATGCACTAAATTTGTAGTACATGATTGCACATTTTAGATGCCTGTTTTTAGGGCCAGTTTAAACATGTATCTGAACATTAACTCAATCTCATTAATTTCATTCAATTTTCACAATTGCTTCATAGATTTATTATATTTAATTAAACACGCAGAATATACATACCTGTTTTGAAGACATACGTCGCTTTCTTCGCTGACACAATGCATGGCAGTCCGTATTCTCTTGCTACCACAGCTCCTGGCAGAGAAATAATGCATCATTTACGATAATATACAAAATCTAGTAATTTTCTCGCAGCACTAGGTATATATATATATATATAGTAGTCCCCGCTTTATCGTGCCTCAAGATAGTATGAACATCTTCTAAAAAAAAAGTAAAGCTTTCTCGGCCATGTCTAGAAAAGCAATCCTTACGCACATGTGTTTACTGCCGTAGAGCACGACCACACTTAAATAAATAATATAATGATACTGTACCAAATTCTGGGTAGCATGAAAACGATTTATTTATATAAAGTTAGACATTGAGTTTACCGTGATGATCCAAGGCCTCCATCCTCTGTGCACAGACCGGACACGAGAGGGAAGTAAGGTGACCATCCGAGTCGCGTTGTACCGGCACTATTAATACTCTCCTTGCTATAAAACAAGCGGACAGTAAATCTTAGGGTACTGACCATCCCGGATTGCCAATTTAAATACGTATTTGAATATATATGCGCAAAATTGTCTAGCCAACAGAGCACCCCGCGATCCAAGCGGCGAGAAACGCCCGCCCCGGGCGCGTGCCGCACATATAAATGGCCTAAGAATTAAATATTGGGAGCATGCTTGCGCTTTTGTCTTGTGGGTGGACACAGTATAGCGTAACAGACAAACTCATTCAAATTCGGTAAGTGCTCCCGGTGTGGTCCCTATTTGATATAGGATCATCAGTGTGATTATGCGTGGATAAAGCTACAGTCATTTCCATCATCCATTCAACTTCCTCATCTAAATACCTTGTATGGTGTCTGCGTCCTCGCAGCGATCGAACTATCCTGCATTTGGCCCTGACAATACATGACTAACAGGCATCCTGCAAATAAATGATAGCGTCTGTGTTGGAAACAAAATGTGCACATATTACGCTTAATACCGGATCTTTTTTTGCGTGTGCTTAATTTTTTGTAGCAGACATGCATCAATCTAATATTACTGATTTCATGACTCATTTTATATATTTATCAAGAAATAAATCATGCAAACGGTTTCATTTTGTAGAATTGCGGGAACGTAATGCTATACCGATAATTATGAGTGAAGACAAGGAGAAAAAAAATATGTGAAGAGAAACGGGTTGGTAGGATTATATGTGGGAATGGAGGAATAGAGTGTAAAGAAAAGTACGATAATAGATTAACACCCCACAGTATACAGACACGCGACGTACGCTAACATGTGCAAGTAAGCATGCAGGGCGCCTATATATTATATATAATATATATATATATATATATATATATATATAAACGCGCGCACAAACATATGTACACCCCCCCCCCCACACACACATAAATAAGTATATTATTATAATATGACAAGCATATTCTACAAAATACCTGTTAGCTCTGACGTAGTAGGAACAGCATCATTCTCGTCATCTTCAATCTAATGTATAGAGAAACAATACATGTTTATTTACGCACCCAAGCAAAACACCCACGTATGCAGGCACGCACATAGAACACGTACGGTGCGCAGTGTACGCGTAAGTGCGAGCATGCGCGCGCGTGTGTACGCGCGTGCGTGCGTACAAGTAGGTGCAGCGAAAAGAGAAAAACCTTATGTGCTTTTTTTGTTAATTCAATATGAGTAAAATAATGAAATATTTAATATAAACTTTGTGAACAATTATTTATATGGTTCACAAAATATAGATTATGTAAAAATAGGGAACGCACAGGCGTTGGATAGCCAGTCATGATTTCAGGGAACTGCATTGCCATCAGCGTGGGCATGAGTTTTCTTCTTCGATTGGCCCTGCAATTAAACAATGACACATTAATGTCAATGATTTTAATATAATCTACACCGCGTAACCACATCACTATATACATCACTGCACAGAACCGCGTGACGCCCATGCCACGTCAAGCAGCTACACCACGCCACGCCACGCCATCGCACTCCACACCACACCATGCAATAGCAAACAACACCACACCACACCACACCACACCACACCAACAACCACAGCCACACACACACCACATCACACCACACCACATCACACCACACCACACCACACCACACCACACCACACCACACCAACCACACACACACCACACCAACACCACACCACACCACACACACCACACCACCACACCACACCACACACACCACCCACACCACACCACACACCACACCACACCACACCACACCACACCACACCACACCACACCACCCCATGCCACACCACACCACGGAAGCAACACCACATCACACCACACACACCGACAACCACACCACACCCACACCACACACACACACACACCACACACACCAACCACACCACACCACACCACACCACACCACACCACACACACCCCACCACACCACACACACCCACACCACACCCTCACCACCACACCGCACGACCACACCACACCTCACCACCCACACACCCACACCAACCAACCACACCACACCACACCACACACACCACACCACACCACACCACACCCACACCACACCACACCACACCACACCACACCACACCACACCACACCACACCACAACACGTCATGGAACGCCACGCTACGCCACGCTACGCCATGTCACACCACACCGCACTGCGGTACAATAGACTCCGTAATAAAACGTAAACAGCACTAACTTGTTGATGAGCCTGGCGGACCGGGTTTTAATTAGTTTGCCGATTTCATTATGTCGCAAAAAGAAGATCAACTCTTCCTCGGGTAGACGACCCTAAGTATAGTATAAAACTAGTGTAACTAGTTGGACCAAAATTATTACTAGATTTTAATAACTGTACTTATATATACCATTAGGTAATAAATCTTTATCAATGAATTTAACCACACTTATAATGCATAATTATAATATTAACCCTCATAGCTTTGCGATCGGCGACTTATTTAATTATTTTTTTAGATTTGTGCGGTTGAAGAAATGTGAGAAATCCTAATGATAATAATAGTGGTCTTATATATTACTATAGTAATGTTTATGTAACAGACATGAAAATCGTAACAACTTGCCTCGTGTACAAGCAGCTCAGCCAGTCTAGTGTATCCTTGTCGCAAGAAGTCCATTAGTTTGATTGCGATACCTTTACCTTGTTCTCTTTGGCCGACGGCTGCTCTTGCAGTTGGCAGGATGTATCGCAGCAGTTTTCTGTAGATAATGTAATTTGTTGAAACCGTCGCGTACCCGTGTCATACCTAGAATTAACTTATATCTATATTAAGAATGTTACCCGAGTTATGCTATCGTCTTGAAGCAAAGGTTGAACATTTACGAATTCAATTCTAATTTTTTTGCACGGCGACAATGTGCTACAGATCTATGTTACAACAGATGAATTCAAACTTATGTTCGACGGTAATTACAACAGTACGCCCCATATATATATATATTTATATAATACTAATTATATATATAATATAGTATATATATATATAAT